ATACACACATACACACACATACATACATATACATATATACACACATACACACATACATACACACATACATATAACATCAAATGTAATGTTCTGCCCGAGATGGAGAAATGATTTCCTCTTGAACCCATACAAAACCATGTGGGACCTTGTGAAAGAAACACTAAAGTAACCATATACTCATATACCTGAGGTAAACACCTTGAGACTTGCTTTCTATTTGAATGAGCAAGTTGGAACTACAGAAGCACCAATGCATTTAGTATTTTCAAAAATCATTGTAATAAGATACTAAGCCCTCCTAAGTCAACCTTCACAACAATACACTGCATATGAAGCGACACAGGCTCTGACATTGTGAAAGGGAAAATTCACCACCTTTTATGTGGATGTCCAATCAGTGTTGACGGTAAATGTAGACGATTGAAGCAATAAACTCCTCAGTGCTGCTGTGTTGACCCACAGAAGTTTGCAGATGCAAAATCTGTTGTTCTTCCTGCATCCAGCGCGGTCATTGACATGACAGTGACGTAGCTGGAGGCGAGGAAGAACCAGGGGGTTGTATTTCAGCATGGATTTCTAGTCGAGGCGTGCTCCAGATGCTGCTCAAAAACAGAACTTCCTCGTACTCTTTGCCTGTATTGCAAACTAGCTACGATTCCAACAGTGCAAAAATGGCATCCCAAAAGATGTTATGGATGAGGACACATATCACAGTGTTTGGAATTACTCGGATATTTAGCCGTATTTACTTGGGCGAGAGACAGCCGATGAAATGCAGAGAATAAACGCTGAGGCTGCGCCTGCATTAGGCGTGCAAGAGGAAATGGCCGACCCTCGTTGTCAGATATAGCATGTAGCTAGACTACATTTACTGTCAACAATGATTGAACATCCACATAAAAAGGTCACACATTTTCCCTTTCAGTCCACAAAGGTAAGTATTAGTGTAATAATGGTGTAATAATAGTGTTAATATCAGTGCATGTCTAGATCCTTCTTTAGCTTGACTTACATATTTAACGTAGTCCTTCCACTGCTGCCACCACAGCATGGAGATGAGAAACCAGTTCTGACTTTGCTGCAGCCCATGTCTGCTCTCCCTCTCTAACCAACCCCTACACACAGACAGACAAAACATCCATTAGGCCCAACAGCATATTCTTCAAGGTGATATACAGTGACATGACAGATGAAGAGGACCGGTGTGTACCTGATGATTTGTCCCTCCTCCTCGGGACTACCAGGCCTTAGCCCCAGGACTATGTGGCACACCTGGACCAAGAGAAATACACAAAGATGGTCAAAGAACATGGAAAATGACTATAAACAAATACTGCATACCAATACGAGTTGAACAACTACTGTACAGTGTATGTGGGTGTGCGGACCTGGAAAAGCAGGTTTAGGAACTCATTGGCCAAAGCACTCTTCACACTCCAGATCTGGTAGTCTTCCAGGGTCAGGTGACCCAGCTGGTGAGGAGTAAACAACACAGGTCAGCATACACTCATCTACTGTTCTCAAAATATACACTGCACGGATGGAAGAACATCTATTCATCTGCCATGGTCTTTGTTGGTGAAAATAGCTGAGAGGGAGGTTGCTGTGGGTGCACTGGGCAGCTCCCAGTGACAGCATGTGGAACTATAGGAAGGGGAAGCTGGAGTTGAGTGTAAAGTGGTGTTGACTTTAGCTAAATCAAGGTTATAGAATCAACTTATATTACAGGGTAGAAAGCATAAAGGATTAACTTCCCGACAGCTAAATCAATGATGATTCTGTCGAGTCTTACCTTGGTTGTGTCGTGCATCTTTAGGATGCCTTCTACTATGTCTGACACGCTGCTGTGCAGTTCCTGCAAGGGAACAAAAGATATTAGCATGAAGTAGAAAACACCAGGCACCTTATCCTAAGCTACTGCTGTGAGGAGGATCACCACAGTCCTGAGTGTGAATATGTGAGATGAGTAATTCACAGGATTCTGGGATGATCATCAATATCTGTCCATTTGTCATGCCATGAATGAGAGATGCACCAATCGATCAGTCTGAAATATCAGGTGTTGTTGCCCGTCATATTTGCACACATGATGATAGTTTGACGTTGCGCACACAGCGGCACAACAGAAATGTTTGTGCATGCTGTCAATTATAGTTCTTAGAAATAAAGAAGAAAAGTTGGAACCGCCAAGAAAATTGCAATCGATGCATCTCTACCATAAATACCATATCAATATTTTCTGTTTCAATTCTTGTGGCAATCCCTGCTCTGTCCTGTCCTGTCCTTTTAGTATACCCAGCATTTTCATCTGCCATTATTACCGTATCATAAACTGCCATGAAATCAAGCTCTAAACTAATGGTTTAGGAAATTCTATTTCATTCTGAGAATAAGATGAGCAGATCAATATCGCTCACATGTCTGTGTGCACATGTACGGTGGACAACAGCCAGGCGCAGAGACTGTGCAGCTTGCCGGAGTGAGGTTGCCAGATTTGACACCATTGTGTCTTTGCAGAGACCTAAACCTGTGCTCACTGACCACGTCTTGAAATCTTAGCTACAGTCACAGACCCTGCACAGAAGGGCTGTTCACGTGGCCCAACTCTACCATCTATAAGGACGCTTTCAAAGGAATAAAATCAAAGCAGTATTTTCAGATTGTCTAGCATGTTACTAAAATTGTACAATATGAAACTTTTTTTTCTGGGCTCAAAATAAATAACTAAAGACATGAATACATGATGTACAACCTTGATAACTAGATGGAGCAGGGCTCTTTGTCCACATACAGTTCATACCTACATCTACACTCAGTGTGTGTGTGTGTGTGTGTGTGCGTGTGTGTGTACACCATAGTACGGTACGTGTCAAAACATTTTTCCCCAAAGATGGTTTCTGTCATTTTAGGTAGCTTTTTATCACACTGATCACGTTCATTTCTGACAAGTTTGGTTTTCGTTATTTGATGCTATAAAAACGGACTGTGACGTCATCATTGATAGCTGTGACTCTCTTTCGCTAATAAGCTGCATCTGTGTTCGGCTCGTGATTGGTTCTGGCGGGTGGATGGGCGGGACCTCGATACCGCGGCTCCATCCCCCAATCACAACTGCTCCCGTATCCTGGATATATTGGCCTCACCTCCAAACTGTGGGAGGAAGTGAGGATGCGTCGTCCATCTGTGTAAATAGTCGATGGATTGAACTTACAGGGAGTGTGTCCGTGCGATTGTCCTTCCACACCTCCAGCAAAGCCACCACCATTTCATGGAGTTCATCTCGAGACAGAACCCCATCACGGTCCACATCAAACACCTTGAAGCAAACTGTCGGTGAAAGAGAGCGATGTAGTGGTGAAAAACAAATCTGGTTATGAAGAACGATACTGCCTAGAAACCTAACACCAGCTGCTTAGCCTACGAGCAGGACAACAAAATCTTTCAAGCACAAATGAAAGTTCTGATGACAACAATGAGCTCCAGCACAAATCCACACTTTCCCAAAACATTTTTGCTCCTTTACATTCAAATTCCAGATAACAGCTGCAAAGAAAGGCTTTGTAGGATCACCTGAGGCGTTTGGATATATTTATTCTTTTTATTTCATTTATTTATAATGTTTACTGAGGTGAGATTCCTCCTGTAATCCCCGACAGGTTTTTAAAATCTCACCGGCACAACATGCTTCTTTTCTTTTGTTGTTGTTTTATCGTGCAAACAAATGAATCAAATCAAATATCCGTTACTGCTTACATTTCTGCCTTTCAGCGACGGGCCCCCTGCAGCACGCAGAGAGTCCACAGGAGATCTCTTTAAAGTCGATGTGATTGTCCCGATTCTCATCGAAGGCGTGAAACAAGCCTAGAAAACAAGATCAACATCAGATCATTCTTATACTAGGCAAGTCTTGAAAGAGGGATTGGATTTAAAAGCCGGAAAACCTACATAGATCCACTATGACCTCATTAATAGATTTACCTGTGTGCACTTGACCCCCACATTAGACATGAAAAAATACAGGTACCTACAGTCTTACCTTCACTCAGTGAGGCATGGATGGGAGGAGAGACCAGTGGGACAAAGGTTTCCAAGTCAAAGCGGCCGGTTCTGGACTGGGCTTTCAGTAGCCAGTAGCGCTTCTCCAAGTCGATAATGTCCGACTCCTCCACTGCAGGATCGGAAACAGAGGAAGCCAAAGTCAAACACATACTCAGTGCAACAGTATTCAGAGGGATCAGTTCTCCGAGTTCTGTAGTGTTGTTCACAGATGTAAGAAAAGTGGGAAGTTAAACTATTGGAGTGATTACTTGCACGTAAAGCTATGGTTAGCTTTCAGTCTATACTGCATGTGAATGTGGCTGACAATAACAATACGATTACACACGTATGTCCATGTAAAATGTCATAATGCAATGCAGCTATAACAGCCTTATACGTTTTCAAAATAAACATATATGGTGAGGCTCATGATGCAAACGCAGAGGTCAGTTCAAGTAGCAAGATGATGGGTATTTAAATACATGTAGCTAGGGTGGATAGCAGGATATTGTATACTATCGGTAGGTACAATAAGGTACAGTATATGTAGTCCATATCATATAAAAGTTAAGGGGGAGGGGGGGGGGGGGGGGGGGGGGGGGGGGAAAGAAAAAAAAAAAAAAAAAAAAAAA